ATAAATAAAAAAATAATAAATAAATAATAATAATAAATAATAAATAATAAGTAAATAATAAGTAAGTAAATAAGCTGTATCCAATGTCAAATTTGAAGCAGTCTGTCTCAAATAATGTCAAATGCAGAGTAAAATTCCATTTCTGTGTACCTTTCTTAGCTTTTGAAGAGTTACAGAAATTAACTGGCAATAAAATGAAGTGACTTACAACGTTTGAGCACTTCTGTTTTTCCGAAAAGATGGTCATTAGTTTCTCACGAACTAAATTGTTTTGTAAAATAAAACTGGTAAACCCTAACATTGTATAGGTGCCCTTTCATACCCTTTCTGAATACTCTGCTTGAGCACATTATTGCTCGGAAATAATTACCCATCCATCTGACCGTTTTTCACCCGTTGTCACGTTCTTTTGAATTTTTGTTGTCTGAGTGGCTAGCATTCTTCAAATCAAATGTCTGACCCGCATCCCGATGTCTGAGCAACGGACAAAGCTTGCTACATGTGACCAACTGCTTTTTATCGGTTGCTCAATCATTTCCCTCTACTGTCCTCTGTGGTGACAACAGTAAAAGTACACAAGAAAATTCTAACCATGTTGCGCAGGTAAATGCATTACTGGAATGCAGACAACCTTAACCTTTAGGACATTTAGACGGTAGATACGTTCGATTACGCAATAGGCAGGCCGTTGGAATAAAAACGGTGGACATGTCTACAAGGGTATTTCACCTCTGATGCATAGAAATATGTTAGTTGTATTGTAAAACACCAAGCTGTAAACTCTTGAAACACAAGCAAACCATCCAAAGTATCCAATGGAGAATGATTTATTGAGATAAAATCCCATTTTTACCACATTTGAAAAAATGGCGGGTTTTTGAGGGGAAGCCTACGATTGTCTGCTGTTGCCCTATAGAAGCTGAAAAACCGGTATACAGAGTTTTTCAAGTTATCAGTCTTCTAGGTGTTACTGCTTCCATGCCACTTAAAACAATAAGACGTTGATGCTGAACTAAATTACTGGTATCTAGGAAAGGTTCATTGTTTGTAAATCAGGTAGCTGTTTGCCCTTTTGCTTAGCTTTGGAGTTAGCTTGAAAGAGTTCTGTCACCGGACTGAGAGATACCATCAATGCACGGTTATTAATGATGTACAATAACGTCTCACTTATAGTTTCCTGACTAAACGCCCACAGGTTAATAAGCCCAACGGGATTCGTGTATATGTGCGAAATTCCCCCATTTGCAAAACAGTTTTGGGGGTGTTTCAAATAATCGTTTATGAAGTGTCCTGTGCTTTTTTGATTTGGTTGCCGGAACGAAAGAGCAACATGTACTCACATCATTATGTTGGATTTTATTAAAATCGTCCTGTGTTTGTTTGTGCTATTTACGTCGATACAATTTTGAGCTGAGCCGAAAAATCAGGAATAAGTTTTCCGGCAAAGAAATTCTTGACGATAAATATTCATGATATTTTTGAGGACAGTCAAAGTCCATTTGCAGATCTTTGTTAACCATGAGTCATTATGTATGACAAGTCTTGATACTTTGAGCTACACACAAGTTTCATGATAGACTTTGACGTTCTGCTGTGTGTGGAAGTGGGAAATGCTGACTATGTTGGGTACCGCTCTTCCCGAAGATGGTCGATGTAAGACAGCTATGAAACAAACACGTGCTTTCGGTTTTTAAACGGGTGCATCGCAAATGTTTGTTGCCCACAAAAAAACACCCAAACCTTTTGCGCCTGTAAAAACCCCGAAAAATTTCAAAACTTCTACGTCCACCTCATACAGATTTAACTCCTAAAGTCATTTAGTTGGTTGCCACTCAGACAAATTCTGTCGTTATTTGCAGCGCAGCGTTGATTCGCCGGATGGGATCCCCAAGGAACCGAAACAATACTGCTATTCAGAGAAAAAGACACCAACCTGATGAACAGGAAACTACGATACTGTTTTCCCTGCATTCTGTCGGAGCTCCCAACATGTCCTTCAAGCCTTAGCTCTTGTATACTTCACTCATAATTCACGCCGACAACACCGACCACAAATTGATGGAGGCAACGCTATTTGAACGACAAGTTGTGTTGACTACCTTGTCTTGTAAAGTTGAGAGTTGGCTGACCTCAGTATCCTACTCTGTTGTTCATTAATCTGCCAGAAGTGTGCTTTGGTGGGCAAAGGCAAACAACATAAGAATCTTAGAAGTGTAGAAGCACAGTGATGATAAATCAAGATAAATACCTTTGCACCTTGGTTCAAAACAACGTTTAAATGTACTGTTGCAAAAAATTGCAAGCTCTTTGTGTTCATAAGTGTCTAAAATGAACGATGTTAATTGGACTTGAATACAGTTGGATCTGTTGGAGATCAATGACCCCATTTACATGTTTGTCATATTTCGCTATGATTGTATGAACCCAGCACCATATAGCAAAGGAGCGAATGGCGAGCCATTGACTTGAGTAAGATGATTACACAAAATTGGTTGAAAAACTGTTTTAAATTTGTCGTAATTATTGGATTACTTTTTGAAACATACTACAGTCCATACTATAGTATGTTTTTGTGGTCTTTAATTTTCATTTGTTTGCGAAGCAATTGCCTATTAGTATGGTGAGGAAATTTTTGAACTTTTACACACTTATCCACTAAATTTTAGCTCTCACGGATTCCGCTATAAACAACGATGAGGATTTTAGTTTATTAAAGAAATTACTTAATGTAACGTGATTCTGAGGCCTTGAAAACAACTCTATTACCATTTCTAGTGGATATTTCAATAGATACTCTGGGATAAAGTGTAGAAACAAAAATTTACCCAGCATTCCCTCTCTGTTGCATATCTTATTCAACCTTAACAGCTTGATGTAGGCTTAGTCAGAAAATTCTGTGTCCGGAATGCGTAAAAGTCCAAGCGTTGTGGTAGAATCCTTAACTTTGTGTCCAAGAAGAACAGAGTTAATTTTATTTACACCTTCTGGCGATATTGCTGCAGTTGTGTTTAGAAAGGCAGAATTCATGGTTTGATTACGACCACAATAAGTATATCTCTGCGAGAGTGAGTGGTTCACAATAAAACTGCTTCTTGCTAAGAGGCTGAAATGAGTTTATTCAACAGTGTTTATATCAACAAATGTACCTGTAGTACAAAGTGCGGAATGCTCGAGAAGCACATCAAGGGGTGTTCGGTTGACCAAACATGATACTACACTGTGTTGTAGATATTAGCCTTGTTTTCCAATAAAATGTAATGCCGGAGATTGGACTTTCTCCATCATTAAAAATTCAAAATAAATGCCACCTGTCAAACGGGCCAGAGTTTCGTAAAGTGCAAATAAATAAAGGACGAGAAATAAAGGACCCCCAAATGTAACTTAGAAACCACCGTGTTTTGCTGACTGGGCACGGTTAATGCAAGTTATTGTGGAGCCTATTCGATTCGCATTCTGTTTCATCCATTTTGCCCTGTTTCGCTCATCTTGCGACGGATGAGAATGTGCGATATGCACTCATCCTACAATACGTTTTTCTCCCGCAATTGCTCAAAATGAGTCACGATTGAATGCACAAGACAAGAATAACAAACATCATTGAGGTTTGCGCGCTTTTACTTGACGTGTTTGGGAATGCTGAGCTGGCATTTCGCATGGAAATGTCTCTCCAGCAGCATAGGAAATATCATCGTTGAGTTGTCCGTTGGTGTGTTGGAATGTACGAATTCAAAGTATCGGTAGGTTTGTTGGATGTCAGTAATCTGTTGAGTGCTTTTTATCTGAACTGTAATGCTGACTGCAACTATAGCTGTTGATGGAAGAATACAGACTGATAAGATATTACTCACAATGTAACCGACTAATTTGATTCACTGTTTATCTTGAACCTAGATATATGAGTCTTTTTTTGAGCATGTCCGTCTTCCCGAACTAGTCACACTTCATGAAAGTAAGGTAATTCGCTGAATTATTTTTCCGCTTTCATTTTGAGGTTGGTCGAAGTAATGCGCTGGAATACACCGGATACTGTCAAGTAGGGATGAGACATCATGGCTGACAGCCATTTTTGTCGAGTAAAATTTAAACAATATGGTGTAACTTGTCTGAAATTTGGTCGGACGGTTGCAAGCAAAATGTGGCATTGACTTTATTCATCATTTGACGTTCTGTCTGACTTTTGTAAACGAAATGTTCCGAGTAACAGTGTTTGCCAGAATAACCCGAAAAAGCAATGGCAGCGAAAATTATTGAAAACAGCTAAAAATTCAGTGTGGTGAACATAAAATGACTGGAGAAGCATAATAGTGAAAACCTGCACGACGTCGAACGGTATGGCCTTTTTGATGTGCTGCATAGCTAATGTCCCGGTTTGTGAACCAGCATCTCACTATTCATAAATAGGGTTTTTCAGCTGGAAAAAGTTTTGAATAGGCCTAAATCTTCATTGGTATAACAACGGATCTGCTGGTCTATATTGTGACCGCTAAGCTCTTCTATGCTTGGTGTAACCTCTTCCTGTACATTATTTCAGATTCACTCATACCACCCTCTTTAACTTCCAACATCTCGTCACAATTCGAAACAGCCCCTGCCCATACAATTGTCTTCCGCAGGAAGGTGTGTGTATTCGGCCCGGTAACTGGTGAGCAATGTTTCTGTAGTAAAAGGCCTTAAGCAATGGATTCCAGTTTGATAGTCTATATATATATTTATATATGTAATGAACCTTATGAGTAGTGCAGTGCAAATGTAAATATATCACGATGTATCGAATATCATAACGACTGATTGGCGTTCTATAAGTGATACAACCTGCTCAGCAAATAAGGTACAAAGATTGGGCAAAATGTATATAAAGTCCTGGAAACAATCCACGTAGCCAGAAACAGGCCAGTGTTTTGGCTCATGAGAAATGTGTGAATAGAATAGAATGGTCACTTTATATCAATTTTGATGTCAAGGTCAACATTTATCTTGTAGCGTAAAATAATTATTAACAATATTCCGCCAAAAATCTCTCTTGATATCCACAGCACCAAGCAGATTCACTCGTCATTTTGTTTAAAAGTGTATCAAACTCAGAAGGTAGTCCGCCGTAGTTATGAAAATGATCCTTTAAATTTGGGATTATCAATGGTTGCTAAACATCGAAAATTGCATGCGTAGATGACAAAATTAAAACCGTCAGCTGCACCTATGTATAACACAAGCGCTTTATTGTGCCTGTCTTTTTGATGTATACCGTGCATGAATGATCCGTGGCAAGAGATACTGGTTAATATTCCGCTTGTGTAAAGCGAGTCGGACATACCCTCCTGGGAAATTCAATTTGCCCATCATATGCCAAATATTTGTTGTTCTGACCTGTATAGATTAAGTTTTCTGGTAAAACGACGATTTACATTTTAGGTTGACAGTAAAACCACGTGGTCTTTTAACTTTAATGTTTTTGCTGCTAAACAGACAAGTTACATTTGAGATCTTCTGCTAAACAATCACCAAGAGCCAGTGCTCATCGATTAGAAATGAAATACTGTAGGATATGCATCTCTGCGAATGTCTTGCAGCTCATGCTGCATTTGAGGTGAATCATGTTCAAGCTAAATCTCCTCCTAAGCGCAAACAGTCGCGGTTGGTATGAATAATGCATATGAAGAGAACGGACAAAATGCAGTGTATGGCTATAATAACAACAAAGGTACAGAGAATATGACCACAAGCAGTTATTATGGGGCGTAGCAAAGCGTTACTCGAACCTATGTTTCGGAAGATTTTAATCACACGATACTCAAGGATCACGAGATCTTGATCATACAAATAATGATTATAGCCGGCGGTTTCTCTCATCAATGTAATAATCTACGTCTAATGTAGTGTATACAGACAAAACAATCCCTCAAACACACTGAGCCTTTGGCTTGTGTGACCGAATAAAAGTCTGCTGAACCCGCAACGGTCATTAAAAGGACCATAGGTGCAGTTTTTGGGGACAAAATGTTGACATTTCTGCTTTTTTCTCGGGATGTGTTGCTTAGTATCGGTCTCTGTGTGTAGTTTGTGACCTTCGCTGAGTGGATGTATATCCAGGATTCAAGGGTTTGAAGAATAATGGTCTTTTCTGGCGGTTGATCTCTTCTCGGAGTGCGTTCCCCAGTGTTAAGTCTTATTATAGAGTGATAGGATTTAAACATGTTACAAAACACTAAATGCCCGAAGTCTAGTGGCAAATATGGCTTGTCTCGTTTCTTTGAAGTGGGTAAGTTTGCTTGAGTGGATTACTTTGTGAAATGGATTCACACCCCTTCACCAATGAACTCAGCCTGATCAATCCCCAGCTGGTAGAAACCCAAACATCTTGAGAGATGCATCTGAAGTCCGTTCAGTTTTTGTCCGATACATTTGAACATTTGTAAAATGCCTCGCAAACTGCACTTTCGATGGGGCTGATCGATTTCCACGTGAAAGGCGTCCGATAGCTCATTTACTGAGGACAGTTACTGAATGAGCTTCAATAGGAATAAGTTCGGGACAAAGGGAGAAGTCTGTCCACTACGAGTAGTGTGAAGTATCATGCACGCACTCAACCAAATGATGAATCAAACCGTTTCAGAGTGTTTCTTTATTTAAATTAGGTTAAATTTGTTCTACAGGTCGAGAGTAGTAAACGAGATGTCACGGACGGGATGAAAGAAGTTGACTGAGTGAACGTATCGAGCAATAATGCATCAATGTTGATTATATATTTCAAAAATACAAAACGTTTGTGCACTAAGCTTTACACTTACCCGCTCCACATTTCAACTGACTTGGTGTTACTTCACATGGTATGCAGGGTGGCGACCGCATTCTCTGATTGACAGTCTACATAATGAGAAAAATAAAATATCATATTCCTATTTTATTTGAAGACCACTTATAACAGTGATTTGCTGGAAATCTACCCAAATGAAAATTTAATATGACTTTTCCTATTAGGCGTTTAAGATTCATCTGTTTTAAACTGATTGCAGATGGTTTGATGAGGGAAGCTGTAGACCGCATGTAGCCTTTTATTGTAAGAAGTAATTGGTGGACTATCCCTTGCGACCTGGCTGTCAGCAAGGACTTCTCGATCCACCTAATATTGTTCAACGTATCTATTAGATTAGTATACGATTTGTCAAAAAATGCGCTTCCATGTAACAGACACATCCCAGATAGCAAAAAATCAAATATACGTTTACACAAATTGATCTTAACATTGAATTGAGTACAAAATTCTGAAGTGTGAGTTCAGGCTAATAAGAGCTAAACTAAAACTTTCTGACCAAAGTAAGAAGCTTTTAGCATTTTATCGAAACACCCATTGGATAAAATAGCTGTAAAGTTTTTCGGGAACATTTAACGTCTCACGCTATTTTTTCTCTCACGCATTCAATAAGGTCTCCTACGAAAATCCTAATTTCAACATTTTTCTGTCAGAAAACACTGACTAGGAATCAGAATACAAAGGAAATTCGAGGACCTCGAATGTGATTTTGATAGTTCAGTGTTTATAATGAGCGTTGCAATGGGCAAATATTTGGTTTACACATATTTTCGAGTTGCAGCTCTAGACAAATAATATGTAATTTATCTCAAGCTGTCACTCTGTCTCGATGTACAGCCTTATCAAACGGGTAGACGAACACAAGTAATTGGCGGAGAGTGAGATAATTGAATCAAGAGCGTGGTAATCACCGGCGCAGTCCAAAAAGTGAAACAATCTATATTCACCCATTTGATGATTTCGTGTGGCTGCGACTTTTTGGAGGAAATCACGTTTTTTCAAAGAAGCCTTCACTCACTGATTCGACATCGGGATCGATCTCTATTCAGAATATCCAGCCAACTGCTTATGAGCGTGGTAGACTCCCAGGTTCACAGATGGTCAGATAAAAAAGCATCACCAGGATGCGCACTCCACCAACTTATCAGTGAAATTGCAGCGTCTATATATCTTGAATCACCGGCTAATTGAGTAAAAAGTAGAAGCATTTCCATTAGAGTTATGGCTGATTGCGCGGCTTCGGCAATGCAGTGATAGGCTAAAGATCAAATTGTGATTTTTGGGGAGCTATTGGCTGTTAGTCCTGTATTATTGAAAAACTACCCCAACTAGGATGCACTCTGAAATGAGTAGTCTCTGCGTCGTAGCTGTTGCAACAAAAGTAGTTAGCAGTAGTAGTAAGCCTATCAGCAGTTTGCACATTAGAAGTAAATAACCAAATATTCTGGACATAAAAGAACCTTCTCAAGCTGGTTTATCATGAAATGGTTAATGACTATGCGTTTCTCTCCCTAGCAGGCCATTTATATGATTTCAACTGTTGAATTGCTATTTTTCCCACATAACAGTATCAGGTTTTAGTTCCCAGAATTCACTCTGGTGAGTTGCCTAATGGAGTTATCCTCCGGGAGGCAAACAAAAATCGATTTGCTTTAAGGAGTACACTCCAAAGCTGATTGCCTATTCGTTCCAACAAGTACGCCAAAAACCCTCTTACTGTGAAAGTTGATTACTGCACTGTGTTATTTCTGGAATTTGTCGATTATTTATGAACCGTATCTCACAGTTTTGAGTAAACCTATTGGGCGTATTTTGGTCAACCGCAGGAACTTAGGCCAAGGAAGCAACTTTCACTTGGGTCAACTCGTTCTACCCGGTTCGGGTTAATGCATCGGTTACGGCGTTTTTCGTTGCCAACAAGCATTGAATATACGATGGATCACGTGTGGGATGATTTCTGCCCTTAATTGCTATCTTGTGGTACAATCACTGCATCAAGATGTGGTCAGAAGAACAAGGAAACTAAAATACGTGATTTCCTCTTATGAATGCTTTTCCCTGAATAGACCTCTTCAGCAAAATACGTCATGGCATACCATGTGGTGCTGCCCATGGGCATTATTGCATTAGTGTATTTTAACCGTCAAATTGTCAAACATTGATAAATACATATCGCGCTCAGTACGAGTTGAACTCATCTATACCAGTATATTGTAATGTTTCAGAGCTAAGTGCCAAATAACCGTTACTTGGATTTTCAGATTAGTTCACTGCAGTCGAAAGACGATTTTATGCAATATCTCTGCATATTTGCGTGGTAAGTGTCTTTGAGTCTTCATCATTGCCATTGGCTTTAACACCTAGCCAATCATGACTAAAAACTTGTGCTTGACGTGTGAGCCTTGACTAAGCTAGCGTGTTTCCACACCAAAACTTCTTTCACGCGCTGGGATTTATCTTACCGGACTAGAACATTCTTGTACACCTTTTTATATTTACCGTGTGGACGTACTTTTTATGTGTGACCATGATCTTCAAAAATAGACTACAATAAAGTAGATCCCAAACTAGAGCTTAGCGTGTGGTATATCTACGCAATCTGTTGATCATTATTTCCACTCACTGTTTACCAAGCCATTCGATCATGAGACATGTTCTTTCATACTTCGATCGGATGGCAGCCAACGACAATCACACTAATTGGAGTTGATCAGATAAACATAAACTTGTGACTCAATGCCTAATAGGAAAATCGTAAGCAAGCTGCTTTTGATTTGATCATGCAAAAGCGTTTGAGAATCGCTCAAGTTAGCTACCATTTGGTTAGAAAATGGTTGGTTTGCACAGGGTCGAACTTGGTGGCGGTTTTTTTATAAAAAAAGAACATTTCAATGGATTTTAAATACTTTAATACGGGGAAAGATAATCGTAAACGGTCTCTATACTGACGGGTATGCGTGACTACGTTGGAAAAAACAGATTATATGATGCCACAGACAAGCAATGTACAATTTTTTTAAATAAATTCCTGTAAGGAAGTAAGTTAGGTTTAAAAAGCCCTGTGCAGAGGATAACAGGCTAATAATTACAAGAGTGTGGATGACGGTGGATGCGTATAACTTCTCAGATGATGACGTCCATTTAGTAAAGGAATGTGGTAGATTGATGGTTTTTGGAAAGTCCGAGCTGATGCTGAAAAGGTGAAAAAATTCAAGATTTAGACTTTCACGTTTCAATCTCGGTGGTTGTTTTCATACATGTTTTGTGTGATACGTAAGAACGAAGTTGTTGGAAACTGAGTTAGAACTTTTATGAATTACCAGGTGAATTTATTTACTCGTTGATATGGTTTTTACGATTTTGATGGTTATTCACTATCCAAAACGCCTGACATAAAGAAGCTCCGTTTGAGGCTCGTCAGTTTACTTTTGTTGTTCTTTAACAGGATCACATTTGTACTGTACCACATTCGAGAATAGTATCCTAATATGCATGTAATTTTACGTGTTCCCTTCTTGCATCCTATCAGTGGCTATTTTGCATCGATTATAAGTTGACATAGGAAATGCCTGCGTTATTTTTGCTTTTTATAGTAAAATGGTGCACTCATTTACCAAGAACTCTGGGCGATGTTTCCATCATAAATTCTTGTTTTCGAAAAAAATAGCAAATCAGGGTAGTGCACTTGTTTAGAAACCAGGCCAGTTGCAGTAATCCAAGTTTTAAGCCAAATTAATCCGTTTATAACTGCTTGGACCACCTTCACTAAACCACTCTGGCACTGGTTAATTATTCCCCATCCCCGAAGCTGAATTATTTTGGTCTGACAAAAACGAAATAACAGCACTGTACAACTAGTGGCCCATCCAGACAAACAGTTAAAACGCAGAAAGTCATTTCTAGATAAATATTTTAATGAATGAAATTTATGCACTTTCTCCACAGACCAAAACACAGAAACGTTGCTTCCGTTAATCAACACGCTACTCCGAGGCAAACGAATCTTCAGTTCCTGTGATATAAGCTGACGATGGAGGACAGTTCTGTTGATATAACGGCGCACACCACTAACCCGAAGGCGGTTCATTTGGGCTATGAGCCAGAAGTGGCAGCAATCAAACTTTACAAAGGGCGTCCAAAATTCGTTTCACTACTAGACTTTATGCGGAATCTAGAGAGTAGAAGCTTGCCGTAGAAACCAATGGTTGATGTACACACATTGTGCAATGCAAAAATATCCACTCTATGGAGGTTACGGACCACTAACCTCAATCACACCATCGATAAGTTAGATTGTGATATTTTTAAGAGCCAGTACATATTTATCTATGTAATAGAGGGTTTGCTTGTTTGACCGTTATGCATACTGACTTAAAATGTCCTACAGATAGATGTTTAATGTTTTAACAACGGTCTTCAGTGATCACATACATCGATGGGTATGTGCGCACGCCTGTTCACGCTTCCTCATTTAGAGGAACCCTCTCACACTAATTACATCTGATGCACACAGATTTTTACTACCTTCGACGTCACAGAATGTGCACAGTTCGTCAGCTCACTGGTTTTGAAGACTGCGTCTGATGGGTTTTACTCTAAGTGATTATCGTTTATCTATTTGAAAAGATAGAACTACATTTTCTGGAGATATTCAGCAATTAGTTCAAAAATGATGCAACGAAATGCTTAGCTCATTTAACGATGAGACGCTGTAAGAAACCGTACACCGACTATTCCTTTCCGGTCACCTTGACCGGAGTGTACACAGAATTTGACCGAGACAAGATTTGGGGGCAATATAAGCAGCCGCTGAAAGTACGAAAGGAGCTTAAATCGACTATATCTATGGTTTGGCCGGTCATCAAGCTACTTGGCAGAATGTGGGTTCCAATCATTCAATCAGTTTTATTTCAATCATTTGAAGTCAAGCAAACTTTTACGCGTGACTTTTGGAAGGCCAAGGAAAATATCATTAACATGCAAGTTTTTGCGCAAACTTTTTCTACAAACCATCAAGACTAATCTATCAGTACCTACCTTGACAAAGTGTTGG